GCTGGTGACGCAGGGCCAGCAGAAGACCCTGAAGTGAATCGTGGGAGGACAGAAGGCTGGGGTGGGCGAAGGCGGAGACATGTATGTGGAGCCGAGGGGTCGGAAGCCCTTGTGGATCGTGAATGGCAGTTTTCCAGCACATGGAAGAACCCAGGACACAAATTCAGGAGTCCCGATGAGCCCCAGGCAGGACGCAAAGGCACTTGCACCCGGACAGGCCACAGTGAGACTGGTGGACCATGGACGGGGGGCCCTGCAGCGCTGCCGCGGGCAGGCAGCGGGACCCCGTCCTCAGCAAAAACACCTTCAAGAATGAAGGTGCAATGGACGTTTTTATTCAGATGAAACCCAAAAGGGACTTGTCACCAGCAGACCCACCCGAAGGGCAGTAAAGCCTGAAGGACGCTCTCTCCAAAAGCAAAGGGCCCGGCGGAAAGACGGTCGGAGGCAGGAAGGACAGGGCGTGAGGATGGCAGACACGGGGTGGACGTGGGTGATGGCGTGTGCAGTCGAAGCAGGAGACAGGGCCACCAGCACCAGCCGCGCAGGTGGAGGGGCGAGTGGAGTCGGCTCCGTGGGCTCAGAGGGGACAGTAATGCGGGGGCTGAGGGGCGGCTCCCGGGAGCCTCGCGCCCGCACGTGCCGCTGCTCCGGAGTCTCTGGGACAGGGACTGAGTGCGACTCTGTGAAACAGAAAGAGATGGAAATTTCCCAGTACAATTGAAATTTAAAAATCAATTAAACCTTTTCTGTAGCACTTTATATGCCCCAGGCGTCTCTAATGGCAGAAGGTATTCTGTAAACGGCTTGCGTTCCATGTGGGCCGTCTCTTAAAGTGCATCTTACTTTAATTATCCTATATCCATAATGCACATAACCTATTTCTCCAGGACATTTGTAAGAATGAAATTGTAATTGGAAAGCTAATGATTTTTAGAAGACAAAAGATGAAAGTCAGAGCTGTTTTAATTATGATGCAAACTCTCCACATAATTTAATTGGCATAAAACTTTATTGATTACCTTTCGTAATCATTTAGACATGGAAAAGTGACTTAATAAATTTCATAATTAAAACTAGTTGTTGTTTTAAGTCTGACATTTTTCTTTGCCCATTACTGAAACTTCGAGTTTGCAGAAGTATGTATTATTGCAAAGAATATTCCTATTGCAAGGAATGCCGTTGTGAGAGGAAAACGCTTAGGTGATGCAGATTTAAGGCGGTTTGGGGGTGCTGGCCGAGGAGGTCGGGTCAGCATTGCCCAGGAGGGTGGCGGGCACATGGCATGAGTTTGGGGATGTGGCCAGACCTTTCCCACCTGTTGTCAGCTGTCAGCTCCTGAGACATTAAACCCCGCAAAGGTCAGTAGGATTTCCCTTTTCGGAAGGAAGGTCCGAGACACTGTGAACAAAAACGGGTGATCACGTGGGTGGAGAAGGGAGTGTCGGGTCTTGGATGGACGGCATCTTCAGACGGCGTTTCCAAGATGGTGCCTGGGTGACATCCTCAGGGGCCAGCACTGCCCAGTGCTCCTTCTGTGAAGTGTCCTTCTGTGCTGACACGTCTGACGTCCCTGACACCCGCCTGCTCTCACCCACGAGTACTTCTTTGCTCTCTTCTCCCCATGACCCCCCGTGTCCCTGCCGGCCGCCGTGTCCCCTGCCCTGTGCTCTCATCCCTCCCCGGGAGCTCGGTAGCTTGTGTTGGGGACGTCCCCCTGCACTTACACCTGCCCAGACCTCTGTCCTGGACTCCAGGCGTATGTCCAGCTCCGCTCGTCCAGTGTCCCCCGAGGTGTCTTACGGCCTTTTCAGCCTCAGCTTGTCTGAAGCCAACGCCTGCCCTCCAGAGCCCACCCCGTCTCGGGTGGTGGCAGTGCCCGCTTCCAGCTGCCTGGGCGGAAACCTTGGAGTCGTCCCCCAAGCCACGTCCATTCTGTCAGGACGTCCCGGGGATGGTGCCTGTGCTCAGAAGCTGACCCTTCGTCTGAAGCCCCCGACCCTGGCTCTTAGGCCACCTGCCCGTGGAGACTTCTTGACTCCTGAGTGTGGCCGGAGACAGAGTTGGGGATGGGGTGAGGGGTTCTCTCAGGGTGGCCTCGCCCAGGTGGGTGTGGGGACACGACCTTGCAGTCCAAGGCTCCGGCATCCTCCCCCTTGTGACGCGCCCTCCCACAGCCCATCTGGGAGGCCGTCGTGAAGGGCCGTCTGGTGACGCTTCAGTCCTCCTCGCTGTGCTAACACGTTAGCAGCGCATTGACCTGGTGGGATTTGTCGTAGGGGCGGGGGGCGAGGAGGAGCTGTGCCTGCGGTGATGGCCCTCCCTGTCGGGGCCCCCTGACTGGGGACCCAGTGCCACGGCTGTGACAGGTTCAGCGCCCGGTGTCCAGCTTGCCAGCCTCCCCGGTGCTCGCCTTATAAAATGCTTTTTAATTCAGGAACAGAATATCATTAACTTTGTAAGTAGATGAATACAGTGGGCAACCAATTTAATTAGGTTCTGCTGTCGGCCGTTGGACAGGAGACGCAATGAGATTACGGGTGTGTCTCGGGGGCAGGCGGGCAGCCTAGGGGGGCCGTGCTGAGGGTCAGACGGGGGCCTTGGGGCCGCCACTCCGTGTTTAGCTCCGGGGGCTGAAATGGAAAGTCAGTACTTTGTAAATCAGCCCCTTCTCGTTTGAGATGGTGGCAGAGCTGCTCCGAGAGGCAGGGTGGCCTCGCGACAGTGACCTGCTAAATGCACCCTTCCCACCTGCTGCCCCGCAGGCACCGCCACCTCCCATCAGGTCGCCCGCCGGAGTGTGTTACACAGGAGATCAATGAAGCTCTACATTGATTCAAACAAAAGCCTTGTTTCATTTATTATTGTTTATAATCTAATGAATGTTACAGTAACTTTGCTTTGATTTATTACTCAATCTGTTAAATTGTTTTAAAACCAGGAGTCTCAGGGCTTACTCCTGTGAAGTGCTGTTCCCCTTACTGGTAAAAAGTGTGTTATTTTTTACAGTCGTGCTCAGCCTCTTGGAAGGCTGGAGGCCACGTGATGGGCTGTCCCTTGAAGTCGAGCAAACAGTCCCACGTGTTAGCTTGGGAGCCACTCACCCGTCGCTCCTCGGGGTGCCCTGCGTCTCCACATCTCCCCCGCTTAACCAGGAGTCGGCAGACTCCTGCCATGTGTGGTTGTTGTGCTGGGACTCAGAGGTGACCAGGCCGTCCTCAGGGAGTGTGTTCACAGAGCCACTGCGGGGCCCAGCTCCAAAGGCAGATGGAGCGGCCGGTGTGGCTGTGCACCCCAGTGGCGACTCTGGCGAGGCAGAGACCGTCCGCAGGCAGCTCGAGGGCCCCGGCGACGCCCGGGCGGGTGGGACCGGGGCTTCGGATTGCGTCCCCGCCGTGTTCCCTGTTAACACGGTGGGCACCCAGTACCCCCTTCCGAGCCCTGGAGGCCTGGTTCTGTGGTGGGAACTCAGGCCTTCCAGTCCCGTAGCTGCGCCTCGAAGCCGTCCTGCGGCTGGCGGTCAGGGCCTCCGCCCTGCGTCCACTGTTCTCGCCGACACACCTCGAGGCTGGACTGCGCTTGACTGCTGGGAGGTCGATAGCGCCCCTGACAGCCCGGCGTGTACACGTGCGAAGGTGTTTTCATTGTTCTTGGCCAAATGGGCAAGGAGTCAGTGTTCTCAGAGCTGGTGAGCACCTGCTGACAGGTGTGGGGTCAGAGGACCCCGAGCCAGGCCCGTCGGCCGTGCAGGGCCCTCCGGACGTCCTCGCGGCCTGTGGGAAGGGCCCCGAGATGCGGGAAAAGTTGGGTTGAACTTCGACTTTGCATGCTCACCAGAGCTAACTGTGGGTTCCTGACTGAATTACAGTTGCTGTTCCTGCACTGCCAACTTATTTTCCGTTTATTTATTGTGAACCTCTTAGTATTGTATCAACTTTAACATTCGATGAGGTGATGTTTAAAATCTTTGCAACCACGTTTCTTTTCTTGCGCTTCTCCAGAGTGCTCTGTACGTGAAACACATACCGTCCGTGGAGCAGCTGTCAGGTCCACTCACGGGCTGCTCCTGCGCCTTCCTGGGTCCACGTGCTGCCTGTGCCCGCCACCCCCTTAACTGGGACGGGCCCAGCCGCACGTCCTCGGGTGTGTGCGGCGGTGCCCCCGCTCCTCTGTCAGAGGGTGCGGAGCCGCTGCTGGACTCGGGGGGAGGGTGGGGGGCAGCGGCGGGCGCGCTGTTTGTTCTGCGCTTGCTCCGCGGGGCGTCTGTCGGCACCAACAGCGCACCTAAGTCCCCGTCACACACACGGGTACACGTGGAAAGAATGTGTAACCACACACATGCGTTAAGTTTGATTTCCAGATAAAGAAATGATTGTTGGTATCAGAGGTCGCCTTCCTGCCCCGGCCCAGCCCTGACACTTCAGTCTTTTCACGGGTGGGGTGAGCAGGACTGGACCCGCCACCCGGAGTGGCTCCCGGCACCCGGCAGGCACTCCCTGGCCGCGTGTTCAGTTGACCGTGGATGGGCAGGGCTGGTGGCACTGGGGGTTGGGGGGAGCGGGGCTGCCGCTCAGTCCTGAGGGGCGTGAGGGTGAGGAGCGAGGGGCTGGACCCTTGGAGGACGGCCGGGCTCTGGTGGAGCAGGTGGGAGCCAGGGAGCCAGGGCCGCAACAGGGACTGCCGTGCTGCCGTGACCGAGCCCGGGGTCCTGCACCCAGGACCAGTCCCTCTCCGCCCAGACCCTTGCCCGCTGCTCCGCACAGCCCGCGCAGCAGACGGGGGACCGCGGGCCGGCGTCTGTGGGGGAGGTGTTGGCAAGGAGCGGAGCTGATGGTCCCCGGGGTCGGGACGCGTGTGGTTACACCCCAAGTCTCGGGCTGTGGTTAAACTGCAGGCAGTTAAAGTCTTGGTCTCGTGCAGTGGAGCTTCCGGCCCATCGCACGAAGCTGTTTTAGGCATGTTCTCCTGGGGTCTCACTTATTTCTCTTTTTGCTCTACAGGCACTAGGAAGTTTTTATTTTCTTCACGAATCCTTAAAAAACATCTACCAGTTTGACTTTAAAGGTAAGACTCCATGCTGTCCTTTGCTGTCTCCTGGGGGTTTCTGTCTTGGGGCCCCCAATACCCTGCCCGCTGGTCTGGCTTCTCCGGGTCCCCTCCGCCCAGTGCCCCTGCAAGAGGGCGTGTGCTCTGGGTCTGATCGAGTCGTTTGCTGCAGTCACTAAGTGGGGAATCATTAGAACCCCTGGCTTTCTGGAGTTTCTGAAACCAAGATGACAGGCCTGCCCTGGACCACCCCCCCAGCCGTCCTGCCCTGTTGCCGTCCGTGCCGCTCCCGGGACAAGGCTCAGGCGGGGGCTCCGGCTCTCCAGAAGCGGAGCTAGAGGAGAAGGAAATGGCTCTGTATGTCGTATCGGGGCTCCTGTCAAACGTAAGATAATGAAAAACAGAAACGCGACTGGAGGAGGGCGTGTTTCAGGAAGAGACGGGCCAGGGGTGTGTTTGCAGCAGAGCAGGAAGTGTAGCCTGTGTCTAATGGGTGACACCACGTGTCTGTGCTGAGAAGACACCCCCCTCCCCAGTCTCCTGACACAGCCCTCGCCTCCGTCCTCTGACTCGGGGGCGTTCAGGCTGTGCCCCAGGCCTGAGGGGTCCCAGTGCCTGCCCGTCCGGTCTGCGGAGTCTGCGTGTCGACCTTCCGCGTGCCGCTGTCTCTGCGTGTTTCATAGAGTCCTTCAGAGCCCCCCATGTTGGGCTGTGGAGCCAGGTCACGTTAATCAGAAAGGCCACTGAGGGCGCGAGAACTGGGGGCAGCTACTCGTGTCGGTTTGTTCAGACTCGTCCTCACTCACTCACTCACTCGAGACAGATCACTCTCCCCAAGGCTGGGGGCCAGCGTCGTCTCCAGACTGCTTGAGAGGTGATGTCATCCACATTGAGAGCAGGGTTGTAGCCGGCAGGGGGGCTCTTCACTGCCCTGTTGCCTGGGGGTTCTCTGACGCTCGAGACACAGCCTCTGGCTTCCCGCTGAGGAGCCTGGGGTGGCCGAGCAGACGGGGCGGGAGCCCGGGCTCGGGTTGCTCTCCCCGCCATCTCATGCCGGACCCCCGATGTCTGCAGGTCGTGTTCGTGGGCAGCAGGCTGGGAGCAGACAGGGACGGTCAAACACAGCAGGCCCAGGTGAAGCTGGAAGCAAAACGGGTTATGTTTCTAATAAACCTGCACCTCCAGCTTAAACATCTACCAGATCTGCTGAACTTCTCCCGTTTGCAGGTCACCATTTGCATACGTGTTGTATTGCTAAGTCGGACTAGTCATGAAGTGCCTGGCCAGCCCCACAGTTCACTTAAACCTGTGCATTAGGTGCATGTTAGACGCACGGTAGGGGGCAGCA